GATCTCATATAACTCAGGGAGCCCCAGACCTTCATCAAGCTGTACCTGGCCACTCTCCAGCCAGGCAGCAAACTAGTACTATTCCTTTTATTGTCTGATTTAACCAGCACCTATGCACAGAGGCTGGTGTAAGCCCTTGCTTGCATCCAAATTATATGCTAGACTTGCTACATAGGAACACTGTCCATCTATGGACATCTGACTAATGAACTTGTAGTTCCACAACAGCAGGAGGGCCAGAGTTGCCCACTCCTGGTATAAAGACTAACTTTAGGCTGTGTGCCACCTCCTCACACCCAAAGGGTCCCAACCCACCCTTGAGGCCCTCCACCAGCATCAGCTTTCTGCTACTGCTTCTTCACTGTCCACTCACATGCTTGAAGCACAGAGGTGATCAAGATGTGCTGCTTAAAGCATTACTCCAGGCTCTGTGCCACCTTCTCATCCCAGAGGACCTTCCTACCCCCTTGGAGGCCCTCCTCATTTTTTTAAACGTACAATTTTCTGATGTCTTCTGGCCGGTCATGTGATGTGCAGGGTCCTCTTCCTCTTCAGTCTTCTCCTGGTGGTGGGTGGTCCTGTATGGTGCAGAGAGCAGTGTTAATGTAATGACATCAGCATCACTTTCTGCAATAATACACTATACGTGCAGGATGTTGTCCTCAGGAAGTGGAGCCATGATGCCCTGTACTCACAGTCTTTCCTCTTTGATGCTCAGTCTACCTCAGTGATGCTCATCTGCCATACATGAAAGGGATAGTCTGAATTTGCAATCATCCAATGAGTATCGGCCATATGAGGCTTTTGTAAGGGCCAAGATCTCACATTGGTCCATATAAAGAGCTCGGTGCCAAATTATTCACGTTAAGGTCACTGCAAAGGACAAGGGGGCACTCTTTGCGTCTGGAGGAAAAGAGGTTTAACCTTTGCATACGGAAAGGATTCTTCACAGTTAGAGCCGTGAAAATGTGGAATAGACTCCCCCAGTAGCTAATTCTAGCTAGCTCAGTTAATTGTTTTAAAAAACATCTAGATGTATTCTTAAATGCACAGAATATTACTGGATATTGAGTTCTTATAGGTATATTAAGCATCAGAGATTGTTGATCCAGGGAAATATCCGATTCGCTTATGGGATCAGGAAGGAATTTTTTCCCCTGTTGGAGCAAATTGAACCATGCTTTATAGGGGGTTTTTTTGCCTTCCTCTGGATCAACAGGGGGTAGCTGTGGGCATAGCGCTCTGTTTAGGCTTTTTTTTTTTCTTTTCTCCGTATCTCTATAGGTTGAACTCGATGGACTTGTGTTTTTTTTTCAACCTGACTAACTATGTAACATTAGCAATCTTGTCACAATCTCTACATAGAGAAGAGTAAATACTCACCTGGTTCCACGTGTTGTTCCCTCACTGTCTGGATGACCTCCGGACAACAAGGGAGTAACGTGGCTAACCAGGTAAGTTTTTTTCTCTGCATTGTGATAATGTTGCTGGCGAGTTGTTACCAGGCAACAGGATCACTATTGTGCATGGCCCTAAGTGGTGAGAAGTATTCTGGTACATCAGCAGTGTTTGTCATCACTCACACAGATTTTCTAACCTGTATGAAATGCTACGACAGGTGCCAGTCATGAAGGAAAGAGTTAACAGTGCATGTTCCACTTCATCGGTTTAGTTTCAAGGTATGTCTGGATAGAATTAAGTATGGGCCAATGTCTCCCTGTCAACTGATGTAGAAATTTGCCCACCTATAACCCTGATCCAGACATCTGCCCACCTATAACCCTGACCCAGATATCTGACCACCTATAACCCTGATCCAGACATCTACCCACCTATAACCCTGACCCAGACATCTGCACACCTATAACCCTGATCCAGACATCTGCCCACCTATAACCCTGATCCAGACATCTGCACACCTATAACCCTGATCCAGACATCTGCCCACCTATATCTCTGATCCAGACATCTGCCCACCTATAACCCTGATCCAGACATCTGCCCACCTATAATCCTGATCCAGACATCTGCCCACCTATAACCCTGATCCAGACATCTGTCCACCTATAACTCTGATCCAGACATCTGCCCACCTATAACCCTGACCCAGACATCTGCCCACCTATAACCCTGACCCAGACATCTGCCCACCTATAACCCTGATCCAGACATCTGCCCACCTATAACCCTGATCCAGACATCTGCCCACCTATAACTCTGATCCACACATCTGCCCACCTACAACCCTGATCCAGACATCTGCCCACCTATAACTCTGATCCGGACATCTGCACACCTACAACCCTGATCCAGACATCTGCACACCTACAACCCTGATCCAGACATCTGCCCACCTATAACCCTAACCCAGACATCAGCCCACCTATAACCCTGATGCAGAAATCTGCCCACCTATAACCCTGATGCAGAAATCTGCCCACCTACAACCCTGATCCAGACATCTGCCCACCTACAACCCTGATCCAGACATCTGCCCACCTATAACCCTGATCCAGACATCTGCCCACCTACAACCCTGATCCAGACATCTGCACACCTACAACCCTGATCCAGACATCTGCCCACCTATAACACTCACCCAGACATCAGCCCACCTATAACACTGATGCTGATAATCTGCCCACCTACAACCCTGATCCAGACATCTGCCCACCTACAACCCTGATCCAGACATCTGCCCACCTATAACCCTGATCCAGACATCTGCCCACCTACAACCCTGATCCAGACATCTGCCCACCCATAACCCTGATCCAGACATCTGCCCGCCTACAACCCTGATCCAGACATCTGCCCACCTTCAACAACCCTGATCTAGACATCTGCCCACCTATAACCCCTGAAGCCAGCTGAAGTATTTTACTGTTAAAGTAGTTTTGCATAGAGTCAGCTTTTTGTTTGCCTTCTGTGTCCCATCAGGGGGATTTCCCTTCACTTCCTGTCCGATAGCCACAACGGGAAGCGAGAAAAAAACCCTCCAAAGAGAGAGAAATCCTGGTAGACAGCAGTGTCCCCACAACTAGTGTCTCCATTGGAAAATTTCCCATCTATTCCTATTCTGGTGACAACAGTGATAACGGTCACCAAGATAAAAAGAGAGGGTGAATCTCCCTGATGGGGATACAGACAGCAATAAAAACCTGACAGGAGTTGTAATCCCTATCCACTCTATACAGGAAAAAAGGGTCTTCAGTTGCACTTTAACCTATATGTCCCCTTTAAACAGACTACCGGTGGCTATTCACATTTGTAAAGCCGACTGTCCGCTTTACAATGGAAGCGATTCCAGCGGCTCAGCTGCCGGCTAATCGTTTTCAGGGGTGGGGATAGTGTGCACCCTGCCCAACATCCCCACCTTGTTTCCCGGGCTCCGCTGCCCCTTCTGCGGGCCTGGGATTGGCATGTTGGATGTCGCCGGTAAGCTGGGGAGGAAACCAGCAAACACCCATTTGCTGATCTCCTCCTTCCTGACCTCCTCCTTGCTGAATAGGACTGGGAGCAATGTGGATTGCATCACGTCCGGTCCCCTAGCTGTCACTGCTTGCCTGCAGAAGCTGAGCAATAAGCTATTGGAGGGCTATTTAAAGTGGAAAAGTGATACTAGGGGGTCTTCTGGGCGACGATTGGGCTACACATGCTGGGTATCGCCGCGCACGCCAGAGTGAGAGCAATAATTCCAGGGCCAATATTTATGGGTAGCTCTAAATGACCTGTAGTGGCTTTTAAAGCTTCACTCATGGACAATTTGAGGTACCGTATTTTTGGGGCCCGTGACTGGCATGTTGGGTGTTGCCGGTAAGCTGGGGAGGAGACCAGCAAACATCCGTTCACTGATCTCCTCCTTGCTGAATGGGACATGAGAACAATACTGATTACATCACCATAGTCCTCCCTTGAAGAAGATGTACTCGCCTGATCCTCAGTCCTGCAGCAATTACCACTTACCTCAAGAGGCGTATCTACAAAAAAAAATTGATCCCCTGGCGTCCCGACCAGCTCCTGGCAACCAGTAACATCAATGGTTGCCAGGATGGGAAGCCAGGCAGAGTGTCCCTGGTTGCTAAGAGCAGGATGAGGAGACATATATGAGAGAGCGGTGGGGATAGTAAAAAGTCAGCTGTCTGTGTGGGTTAGCGAACTTTCACTGACTCACGGAGCGGTGCCCCCCCTTCAAGTGGCACCAAGAGCATGTGCCATACCCTAGATATGTCACTGTTCACCTCTCTCCCTCTTTTCTCAGGCTGTAGTATGTCCCTCCATGTCCTCATGTCTAATGAACCTGCATTAGATGTGATGACATCACAGGAGCTTAGACCACCGGAGCCCAGGGGAGAATAGTCTGCAAGGACCAGTCTACCAGCCAAGGATCAGGAGAGTGCATTTTCTGTACGAAACTGTAACCCTTGCAGTGCTGGGGTAGCCCCACTGCATTGCATTAAATCCTGTAGCTCTAGCAGGAATAGATGGCTCTCTGGTGAAGTTGAGCAGTGCTGGGGGGGAACTGGGAGTAATGGTGTGAGTGTGATCAATGGGCTGGGAGTGTCTGGATGTTGATAAGAGGGCTGGCTCTCAGCCATGATGTACTGCACAGCCTGAGCTCCCTCACTCACAATCCAGAGGAAATCGGAAAATATTCCCAAGCAGAGCAGAGAGAGAGAGAGGAGAGGAAAGGGAAGCCTGCAGACCTCGGGGAGGATAAACAATACATGAGAACTCTTCGTGGATCTTCTACTAGGAGGATGACAACGGAAGTTCCAGAGTAGAAGGAAAGCTGCTGATCGCGGACAATCTGCACTTTCAATTCTTGATCTGATCTCGGTGTGTGTGTGTGTGGCAGTGTGTGTGTGTGTGTGTGTGTGTGTGTATGGGAGCGTGCTTCCTCTCTCTGCTGCCTCGTAGTAGTGCCTGGCATTCGCTGCAAGGACTCGCTCTGTCTCCGGTATGGTCAAGGCGTCTTCATCCTGATCTGGACCTATTGAAGCAGATTCGCCCCATCATCACATCGGTGCCACACACACCCTGGACAGCACAAGGTATGCCATTCACCGGCTTTCTTCCTGTGACATCGGACGGGGTCTTTTGTAGTGTTGATGGTTGTATTTTCACCCCCTTTTCTCTCCCCCCAAACGTTGCCCATTCATAGAAGCTCCCGCATGGGGCGATTATGACGAGTCTGCAGATTAAAGCACTTAATACGATTAATGCATTAATAAAAGGAAGAACGATTGGATGCGGCAGGGTGCCCTTCATTGTCCGCCTTTGCCCGCAGCTGACCTTCCCGGCATGGGAGGTGTGTGCGATCCATTGATAGATCGGTGGCTAGCCTGCACAGGCAGTAGCGCAGCATCACATGCGGCACCGGGATCCCCATCATCACCCCCCCCTGCCAAATCCAGCTGTCAGCAGACTGGAGGAGAGTGTGGGGGAGCCCAGACATATTCCGCATCAGCAGTGTCATCTGCTCGTACGTGTGTGATGGCCACTTGCTGCAATCTGCTCCCTAAAGTCCTTGTCCTCATCAGCCTGGCCTAAAAAGTTCATTCAGTAGCTATTTGCTGCTCTTTTGTTACACAAGGGGACTTCCTCTGTTAGTCTGGGCTCTTATTAACCCCTGGGCTGCCAGAGTCACCCAAGGGGCCCCCTGTTTATCCCCTATTTAACTGCTGGGCAAGTAAAAAGACCCATTCACTGTAAATAGAAAGGATTGATCTGTGTCCAGATCTAGGTGACAGTTGGAAAGGGTCCGAGCACCCATATGACCCACATCTAGTAAAAATGGACCCTCTATGTCTGCTATTCAACTGCTAGCCAAGTGAAAAGACCCATTCACTATGTATTGAATAACTAGATAGCATTGAGCAGTGTCCAGATCTATTTGACAGCGGGAAATGGTCCGAGCACCCTTCTGACCCACATCTAGTAAAAATGAACTCCCTTAGTCCACTATTCAACTTATCGCCAAATAAAAAGACCCGTTCGCCGTGTATTGAACGACTAGATAGAATTGAGCAACATCCAGATATAGGTGACATCGGGAAAGGGTCCGAGCACCCATCTGACCCACATCTAGTAAAGAAGGACCCCCTTAGTCCCCTATTCAACTGCTAGCCAAGTAAAAAGACCCATTCGTCGTGTATTGAACGACTAGAAAGAATTGAGCAACATCCAGATCTAGGTGACAGTGCGAAGAAGGGTCCGAGCAACCATCTGACTCACATCTAGTAAAAATGGACCCCCTATGCCCACTATTCAACTGCTAGCCATGTAAAAATGAATATTCGCCATGTATCGAATGTCTAGATAGCATTGAGCAGCGTTTAGATCTACGTGACAGCAGGAGAGTGTCACAGCCCCTTGTTTGGCTAGATGAGTGTAGGGGCCCTCTCCTGCTGTCACATAGCTCTGGACATTAGTAAAAATGGACCACCTATGTCCCATATTCATGGCCAAGTAAAGACTTTTTTAAGGAGTATTGAATGACTAGATAGAACTGAGCAGCATCCAGATCTACGTAACAGCAGGAGGGGGTCCCAGCACCCATCTGACCCACGTCTAGTAAAAACGGACCCCCCAAACTCCCAGAGGGCCCTCGTGCAGCTTCACATGGTATGCCGGTTGCCCGCAGTGCGTTGCCTGTCCCCACCCCCGGCACTGGAAGGGTTAGCAGTCCCTCCTCCAATAGGTTGTGAGTGGGATAGATTTGTAGTGAGTTATTATTCCTGTGGTGCCTCAGTAGGAGGAGGTGAGGAGTGTGTGGTCCCTGGAGGATGTGCGGATAATGTGCATGTCTGCTGTTGCTGTAGGTGGCTCATTCTGGAGAGATGTGTCCCTGATTTCTTGCTTTCTAACGGATGACTTGGTAATTCATATGTAGCCTGCCTGACAGGTATTCTCACATGCCTTACTGCATGAGACAGGCACAGGCTCAGCATCGGGGAGGATTAGCCCAGTGTGCAGCGAGGGATACTGCAGGCTGGATGTATTAAGGACACCGGAGCTTCAGGTTAGAGCTTACAGTGGTCTCTCCTCTTAGACCTTCCCCAGCCCGTGACAGGAGCTGCTGCTGTGGTGGAGCTGATGAATGACTTTGACTTAGGCTAGCAATTGAGGTAAATAGGCTCACTGCGGATCCCGAGCCTTGGAAAGGTCTCCTAGTCTCTTTTGTTGTCTCTAATACCCTTTATCTCCCCTCGTTAGGACCGTTCTTTAACCTGTTGGCTGCCACTGACATCTGCAATGGATTGCGATGAGCTGCAGGCTTCTGTCGGGGCTGTGGGAGGAATCCATTTTCATGTAGCAGCCCAGACTCACTTTTACTACATATCATATTTGTGTATTATATATATATTTATATTTACAAATATATATATTGACTGACTGGCTGCAGACACTTTGCTGCCGTCATCACGACATTGTGCCATTATCTGATTTCCGAACACTTTGGACCAATCTCACCAACAAGCGTGGAATTCATTCATTTCTGCATATGTCAAACAACAGATTTCTCACTATACTGGCACAGCTGTTGCTTACGGCCACGGTTCCCATCTCCTAGTACTCCATTCTAACATGTCACTCCAGAAACAAACTAAAATAATGCACAGCTAGGATATATATTTGCCTTTTTAGAATGTCTATAAGTGGGATAGATGGCAAAGACCTCCAGGAGTAGATAGCGGAAGGCGGATTGCATGAAATGACCCCTGCGTCTAAGCCTTTGTGGTAAAGCATGGTTGCATGTCATTTAAGTCCTAGTTGTAGATTTGTTTGCCTAGGTAGTATATAGTGAACTACATTGTAATGCAGTTGTGTCCTGGCTTATAGCGATCTTTTCAGTGCAGAAAACCCCAAGTGACATGGCTCAGCACACGTGGAGTACACAGGACCTAGCCCTTCTACACTGCAGATGTCCTTAATAGGGATAATTACATGCGTTACTGTAATACGGAAACTAGCAGCGCTGTCTTTCGGCTTTTATGTTATTGTTATTATCTTTTATTTTAAATTCCATACATGCAATCATTCTTACTGCAAAATGGTACCTGTCTCCCTAGGATAAACCAGGAAAAAAATTACATTATTTAAGTGACTTGTGGAGGAATGGCCTCTATGCTGGGATACTTCTGAACTACATCTCCCATCATGCTAAGCTAGCTTGTGCCTAGACTGCCAAAGGATGCTTTATGCTGTTGGGTGAAAATTCTGTAAAGGTTTGCATTCTATATGTACCATGATGTGCATGACATCATTATGAGGTATGGTGGACCTAAGCTATACAGCTAAACTGCATTGCTGTCCATTTTTTTTAATAGTAATACACATGAGCCTTTTGCCTTTTTTTTTTTCTATATGGTATTGATCGTCATGTATAAAATATGTATGTTTAGTGGAAGCCATGTGAATGGTGTGTGGTAAGGTGAATTAGACTTTGAACCTGGCTGCAAATGGGAGTAGCATAGAACAGTGCTGAATAATCAAACATGACATGTACTTGTAAATGTTCTCAAGGCATATCCTTATTGATATGTATTTACAGTATCACTCTATCCATCCAGTTATTTATCTATCCATCCATCCATAAATCCTTCCATCCATCTATCCATCCATTTATCCATCTATCCAGCCATCCATAATTCCTAAATCTATCTATCTATCTATCTATCTATCTATCTATCTATCTATCTATCTATCTATCTATCTATTTGTCTGTCTATCTATATATCCCATGCATGACAACATTTTTTTTGTCATTCTGAAAACTCACAGCTGATCCAACCCAAAGGGCTATTGGGTGCCCCCGGGTGTTAGAGTGAATCCGCGTAAGACTGACTGTTGTGTTTGCTGGAGGATAGTGAAATAGGAAATGACCTTGTCTCCTCTGCTTTGGAAGAAGGAATTGAAAGAGGGTTTGGCATATGCTAGGCAGTGAGGTCTGCTCTCACAATATTGTTTCTGCTGAAAGGAGAAGTGAAATCTGTGCGGATTCTGGATTCCATACATTTGATTGTCCTGTTTGCGAGCGGTAGCTGTGTTGAAACAGGAATCTGTTATTGTCATATTAGTGAATGTTGCAACCTTTTATTGTCTTCTCATATAAAGAAAAACTAGACCGGCTTCTTTCCATATTCAAAAAGCTCGATTGTATATTATATTTGCGTCCAAACTGTAAAATCTTCAAAACGCTATCAATTTTGAAATTTGGAAAAAATCTGTACTTTATAGTACTGAATGCCTCTGAATGCATGTGCAGCAATGGCCATATCGTAATAAGTGGCCATTCCTCATCTCCTGAATATTTTTGCTGAGCAGTTCTAAATCAGGAAGACAGCTCATGTCGCTTGGTGTAGAGAGAATATTCTCTGTACTAGTTGTTCATGGATAGTGCTGTCAGTTAATATAATGTAATAGAGAGGGCAGGCATGGGCATATAGGGTCTGATGTACATCCAATTTACATCCAATTGTGCACAAGCAAATTTGCTAAAATAGAGCTTCTTCACATGATTGGACTTGTGAAGAGAGGTGCTCTTCACTTTAATCTGAATTCATACTTTACAATATGATAGTGTTAAAACATCTGTCCACCCAATGTGACATTTCATTCATAGGTGGAATATGGTTGATATAACCATGCTTTCTTGGCTGCCTATTCAATAAGATCCTCCCTTCTCTGTTACCTCCCTTCATGTGACTTAGGGTGTTCCCACCCAGCTTTGGGTGTTCCCGCTCCTCCTGTTGCATTCTCCTGCATATAAAATAAATGAAAACTCCTTCAGGTAGATTGCGATCCTCTTGTTCTTGTCGTGGCATAATTGAGAATTTGGGAACTCAACTACAGAGATTTCACTATTGGAGTCCATCAGAGATGTAAGCAATTGCTATTTGATCTAGCTGTTTGGCGTCACCAAAAACTGAAATATTTTTTTAAGGTGTGCTGACCCTTTAATAATGTGTTCTGCGTGGTGTAAAGTCAGCTCTTATGGGGATTCTAACTGCCGATTTCCAACTTTCTCTTGAGACACGTTGGGAAAATG